TAATCATTTCACACCAAGTAAGGCAATACAGCCACTTAGACGTAGGTGGTTACTGAGTGTGAAAGAATATAAGAAAAGGAAAACATTATTAAGGAAGAAGACCCATAAAAGAATAAGAATTAAGAAGACAGAAGATAACGATTGATATGGTATCTAAATCTTTGAAGATCAAAGTTGCCTGGGAAGCATGTGAGAAGTCCCAGAAAAGTACCTGTTAGTTACGGTTACATCTGGCCGTTTCCACTTAAAAATGAGATCTTACCGCTAGTATATTTATGACAAATGTGCTCCATTAATTCTCTTGAAGACTGGGATTTATTTCATGAAACTCCTAGTAGGAATATTCAAAAGCTAAGTGAACATACAATTCATAGTGAATATACAATTCATAAATCAATAATGTTTCAAATAACTGTCACCCTATTTCAAAGTTTCACGAACGCCTTGCTCACTAGTTAATTAAGTACACACGAACAAAGGCTCTTTTAGGCTAATTTCTAATCAACCAATGATGTGACAGCAATTTAATAAATAATTCAATAAATAAGCAACATGTTGAATTTCAATGAATTTAATATGGCCAACGGCCGGATCTGAATATTTCAAAAATTGCTCATCGACTAGAACTTTCACCTACAACCATCTCTAGGATTTACTGAAAAATGTCCAGGGTGCGGCATTTCTCTGGGTGGATTAATTCCGACAATTATTTTAATATCTTTTTTATTTATACGTTATTTTTATACATACAAATATTTAAGTAGATGCTCTGTTTATAATAAACAGTATTACAAATATTTACCGATCTGAATTTCCGAGAAATCTCAAAGAAAATATGTATCCTCCGACAGGAATCGAACCTGTATCTTACACGGAACCGCCATATAGCCTGACGTGTTATACCATTTAGCTACAGAGGAAGCGTCTGGTTAGTAAGTTTCGAGAGAAATCATGGGAAGATTGTGGTTCAAAACCAACACACTTTCTCTGTAGCTAAATGGTTTATCACGTCAGGCTATATTGTGGTTGCTTATGAATACAGGTTGATTCAACGGAGGACACATATATTTTCTTTGAATTTCTCAGAAATTCTAACCCGGTAAATATTTATACTGTTTATTATAAACAGAGGATTTACTTAAATATTAGTATCTACAAAATAACATATAAACAAAAAAGATATTGAAATAATTGTCGGAATTAATCTATTTCATATATATATATATATATATATATATATATATATATATATATATACCTGATATATATATATACCTAGTGAGCCAGACAAACCTACTTAGGTTTCACTAAACGGATCGTCAGCCACTTTTCCCTGACGACCCGTTTAGGTGAAACCTAGGTAGATTTGTCAACTCACTAAATGTATCTCGTCTACTCTACGGTTGTATTGAGCTGTTTTGTTAGTTAGTTGTTACTCGTATCGGATTTTTTTTCTTTGGGCTTCAGACCTGCATCTGTGCGATTTTTTTGTCGGCGGAAGTTCATGTTTGTAGGTCTTTCTTTTTTAAAAACCTTTTTTCCCCTCGAGATTGATTTGATTATTAGTAAATCAAAAATTCGAGGGTTTTTTGAAACGAGTCTAGTTATCTATATTTATATGTATATATATACATATATATATATCAGGACACACACACACACACACACACACACACACACACACACACACACACACACACACACACACACACACACACACACACACATATATGCATGAAATTTTTAGATATATTATTTATATATTATATATGCGCGGTACTTATTGGAAAGCGGTCAATATCAGTGATAGAGCTAACATATTTAATTGGATTGATTTGAGTTTGTGACTCTCGATTTCAATTTGTCTGACCATCGCAAAGGGCGTGAAACCCAGATTCAGAAACTCACATCAGTACAAATCTATCTATCTATCTATCTATCTATCTATCTATCTATCTATGTGCTGATAAATTCAGGGCAATATTTTCTGCACCTGCATGTATGTATACATATATACATACATACATATATATATATATATATATATATATATATATATATATATATATATATATGTATGTGTGTGTGTGTGTGTGTGTGTGTGTGTGCACTCTCATTTATAATGTATATACATATATAAATATAATGTGTTAAAAGAGAGGCATATAAAGCTTTATATCTAAGTATAAATTTAGGGGTGTGTCAATCGCTGTTTTCGTGTAGTCTTTGTGCTAACATTTGAATCTGATATGCTTATTCATTAGGCTGTAGTTTCAGCAGATAGTTATCTTTCTCAACGGGAGTGATATTCAATCCACGTGTGCTATTCCAGTCAATGCTGATTTCAGTAGAGTTTATGGTTACAGTCCTCCACCCAATGATATTATTCCAAGTCGAAACTAGAGTGATTATGGTTTAGAAATGATCATATATATCTCAACCCACCCTATCTGCAACATTTTCATAGACCTCCTTTTTTGGGCTGTGTTTATTCAACACGTAGGTGATCATGGTTCTCCACAACTTCCTATCCTTTGTGTCTTTTATCGATGTCCTTCAGTATACCCTGTGAGTGTTAAATTTTCCAAGCCTTATGTAAATGTTCTTCATTAAATGTTGCAGAAATTTCAACGGTCTCTTTCTGATTGTTACTATACACGTTTTTTTCTTGGTCTCCATTTTCCTTAAAATGTCCTCGTCGTTTACATGTTTCGTTCATGTTACTGTCAGCATTCGTCTGTTTAATTTCATCTCCGTTGCCTCAAGTCTGCTCTTCATTTGCAAGGAACTTGTCCAGCATTCACTGTCATATCGGGAGATTGATGTTAGATAGCAGTTCAGTACTCTTTTCATTGTTTCTAGTCGAAATTTCCTGTTTCTTCATACTCTGTTTAGATTTTGGAAGGCATCTTTTGCTATTCCACAAAACCTTCGGATTTTTGTGATGCATGTTCCATCGATACCCGACGAATTTCTTTTCGTGTTCGGAGAAGTAGATTAGGTTTAAGGTTGACTCCTGGTATCTTTACACTTTTCAAAAACCGTATCTCCCAATTTTTTCCAGAAATGTTGTATTATTACTGTGTACTGTGTAACATGTCAGGTAAAATAAGAAAAAAAAAACATTCCGATTTTAAGAAAAAAGTAAAAAACACCCTTTTCAATTAGAATATGCATTTAAACATATCGTGAAGTATCCATTTTTCATCACTAGTGTTGACACGTTTCAAAAATAGATCGTCATTGTTTCGTCTTAACACTAGTAAAAAGAAATTAAAACGACGCATTTTCTGTCAATTTATGGGGAATTTTTTCATTTTTTTTTCACTTTTACTGAAATGAAGAGATATTCCCATATTATGATTTCCAATGAGTACTAAAAGATCGTAAATTATCGCTCAAGTCTTAATTTCCTCACTTTTCTCAATCGATTGTTGTTCATATCATTCATTTTCCATATTCTCATCTCCAGAATTGAACTGAAATTCCGTCATAGAAATTTCAATAGAAAATCATAAAATACCAAATGATTTAAATCTATCTTGAAAACATTCAATCACGAATCGTTGGTAATCCAACACGTCATCTGGAGCAACTTAATAATAATAATAATAATAATAATAATAATAATAATTGATTGAAGGTGTTAACGTGCACATATTTGGTGAATTAAAATGGGCGACAGTAAATATCCCATTCAGTGCTGGTTGACTTGTCACTCGCGGCTGTTCTCTTCGGGACTGATGCACCATGCATATCTGTTCATGAACGGGAGGTTTGAATTTTTAATAAAAGTTTGAGAAAGATACTAGGGAAGATCTTCAGTTGAAAACCGCCTGAGCAGAATGGGTTACCCCTACCTGAAGTCATTTCCATCTGAGGCCACACCTGCAAGGCTATCGTGCACATTTGGCTGTGATGCATGTGTCCGGTATACCCTTATCAGACTGGGTGTCATATTAGACTTCATATATTTGTGTCGCTGCCTCACGTTGTTGGCGTGATGCTCTCTCTTTCAATAATAATAAGGACCTGTTACAATTCTATGGGACTACACAATACACACTGACAGAACAATCAAAGCCAACCGCCCAGATATTGTTATTAAAGACCACAAAAAAGATATTGTTATTAAAGACCACAAAAAAAGTGCCTCCTTATTGATATGACAGTCCCTGTTGACTGCAATGTATCTTTGAAGATATTCAAAAAGCTGTCAAAATACAAGGACCTTGAAATAGAAATCTAAAAAATGTGGCATATGGGAACATCAACAATCCCTGTTGTAGTTGGAGCCCTAGGATTGGTTGGAAAAGATTCCAGTAATTGAAGGGATTCCTGGAAGTCCATGCCTCAAAGAGATACAAAAAATTGTTCTCATAAGTACAGCCCACACTTTACGAAGGGCTTTATCTATGTAATTTTTTTTTTTTTTTGTCAGTGGAAAGTGTCATGATGCCATTTTCTAACCTTAGGTCCTGGGCAGGACCCGGAAAGAAATGTGTAAACGCCAAAAATCAAAGATAATAATAATAATAATAATAATAATAATAGTAATAAATGATGTTATATTGGTCAATTTTAGTTAAAAAAAAATGGATGGATTCAATATTGTTTCCCCAGTACGTCAGAAGCTAAATTTGTTGTCTTACAAACACTCGTGAACTGAACTACTTCGATAATTAACTGAAGTGTCATATTATTTTCAGATTGATTTTTGATTGATTTATTTTTCACGGCTTATCAACCCTTTGCAGATTATTTAAAGCCTGAAAACATTTTTAGATTTTAAGAAAGTTTTTTAGATAATAATAATTTACTGATACAAGACCTCTGGATTAACCCATAGCTGGGGGGGGGGGGTTAGAAGAGATGGATTCATATCTTTCCCAAGGGGATTTACGCGTAAATGAATATAACGAAGCCAACTGGTTCTTCGATTTCCAATGGCAAGCCGTTATCGATTATACCACCCACATGTTCATACCGCATGTTCAAGTTTACAGTACCGAGTATTCCCAAGAGGTCACCCTCTACAGGTACTGATCAGGCTCGACGTTGCTTAACTTCGGTGATATACGGGAACCAATGTTTCAACGTGATATGGACATAAGCCTGTTTTTTCAGAAATTCAGATGTTGTTTAATATCTCTTACAGGAATAGAGATTGCCCAATAATGAATGTTTACGACTAATATATCTTTTCACCTAATTCGGAAAGTGATTGAATTTTAGTGCAGGTAAGGGATTAATCTTTAAAAATTTTCAGTTTTCTTATCTCAGAAAACATAATGTCGCCTTAGAGAATACTTGCTGTAGTATTGATGTTAAGGAATTAATCACACGAGACTGATGGTTACTTGGATGCCAAAAAACGTGAGACAAATAACATTTTAAGCATACTAAAATTTTAAGACCAAATGAGAATTAGTGGAATTTTTCATTTGTGGTGAGTACCTTTCAACTCAGGGTCAACCAACGTACGGCCGATTTCCTCATAAAAATAGGATTTTCCATTCGAGTACAAGACTCTGACATTTAAAATTATTAAAATGCTAGATTTGATATTTGTTTCCATAAAATAATTAGCAACAAATTTCATTTTGAAACGGTAGTTTTTATGTTTATTTTCGTATTAATCATATACAGCAGCTATAAAATGATCTTTTAACTCTTAGAGTATAAAAATAAAGAAAAATGGAGCATAAAACTAATGGTAAGTTCTTAATTTTTAATTTTTTATTTTTAATGGTATGATAATCATCGAAGCATTCCATGCACATTAGAGTTATAAATTATTTGCATCAAACTGTCAGCATCTCTCGCTTCTTTAATCTTTGACTTTTTCTTCCACCTTTCATCGTCGTTGGCAGAACTCGTTGCTGCTTATTGGGCTACTCATCGACATTTCCTTCTGTGTGAAATGAGTCCTCTGTCTCATCTGAAGAGACGTCCGCAGCCAAAGCATTGTAGATTAGAAGGGTTCAAGTGATAGAGAACTGTGGTTTTTCTTTGGGCTCTCTTCGTCTCTTCTATTTGTTTTCTGTTGTTTTCGAAGGATTTTGTTTTTTTCGTGGACTGCTCTTCTCCAGTTGGTTCTTTCCACAGCTTCCGTCTCTCAAGGAGAGATTTTTGTTCTCAGTAAGGTGTTTTTGAGCTGATCCTTGAATCGACAATGTGGGGCTTCACGTGGTCTCTTGCCAGATGTGAGCTCCGGGAAGAGGATTTGTTTGGGTAGGCGGATATCAAGTCATTCGGCCAAGGTGTCCGGCCCATCGTGGACGGTGGTGGTGAGTGATGATTTCTAGCCTCTCCATCTTTGCATGGAACAGAACCTCGTTGTTCGTGATTCGACTCTGCCACGGGAAGTGAGAAGAAGAAAAGGCTTTGAGCATGAAAGCCTTAGCTGCGATTTGTTTGGGGTGGTTCATAGCTTGCCACTCTAGGGTACACATACTTCAGCTGACACCATCTGGTGCAGCAAACCAGGACTTGACAGGCCGGTTCATGATGACTGCTTGCATCGGGGTGCAGACTTGGTCTCGTACGGAGAATGTCTCCTTGACCCGCCGGGCGTCGGATTTTGCTTAGTCTAATCGGTTCCCCGAATCCTTATCGCCATGGGCGATCTACCAGGAGACGGAGCTCCTGACGGCATTAGATCCAACTGGGTCCCTCGAGACGCAAAACCTCCTCCACTACTTTTCCGTCTTTATTGGCGGGTAAATACTCCAGGAAATGACGTAATATCATGAATCCTAGCAAATAATGACGTCATGAATCGTAACGTGTTAATTAGACATTTAGACTCGAATCATAAATGAACGATGCCCTGATCGTTGGAAAAAGTTTAAATTATCCGCTCATCTGTAACGAAAGATCAGTTTATGATGCCAGTCGTTTAAGGGTTAACATCTGGTGCCCTTAATGAGAAGATTAAAAAGAAACTATTTCCCACCTGATGAATGCCAAATAACTCTTGAAATTTGTGCTAATAAGAAGAATAAGAACCATATTTATTTTTCATTTTGACTGGCTAACTACATCGATCATCACGTGACACACGGTATTATTGACTGATTGAGGCGAATAAAGAAAATCCTTTGCATTTCATGGTAAGATCACTGACTGCTATGCTTCCGAGGTTATCATTTGTTACTCACCTGTCAGCCTTACAATCAGGTTGTCTCATGCATCGTGAACATCAATAGCTTATATAGGAGCTTTTCATTGACTTAATACATACTTATTTCTAGTGAATTAACTGTTTCCCCTCTGACGTTAAATTATGTCGAATTTCAATAACTGTGCTACGTCTTCTTGCCACAAAAGTTAATCTCTTTTTGCTTAGCATTTCACAAAGTGTAACGAATGTAAAAGCTTATGCCAGAAATGATTGTCATTTCTAGTAGATGATTAGGATTCGACAGACTTCTCTCCCCAACACACACGCACACACACACACACATATATATATATCCAAATGAGAGAAAAATTCACCGTTCGAAGCATTTGCTATTTTTTTTTAAACGTGCTCAATATAAAGTAGAGCAAATTATTATTATTATACTTTTATTATAAGAGTTTATAATAAAAACATTTTTAAATCACTCCACAAAAACTTTCATGTTTCAATACTATGATTGTACTTCCTCAGGCGATGGTTGGTAACTGGTTATAAAATGATTTCTTAGGGAAATTTAAAAACAAATCACTACCTCTTAAAGTTAAAGTGGGGGGCATAAGCTCAGAGAATACAAATAGACTTATGCCCCCCCCTTAACTTTAAGACATTTATTATTCAATGAATAATTTATGGGATTCCTACAGTTACATGAATTTTCTTTACTATTATTTATTCTAATTTCTGAACCACTAGTTTTTTTTTATTATTCTGGTTTAAGTATTTATGTAAAATTATATTATTTTGTTTCTTTATAAGTTTTTCTAAATTTTCAGTACAACTATAACCTAATTTTAGGGTATTTTTATTAAAAAACTTGCTAAGAGGATTATTTCTTGGAAAACGTTTTTCAATCAAAGCAAGAAACTTTTGTCCTAACTTACTACTAACCATTTGGTTAAAAGGATGTGTGTACCAAATGATTTTTCTATTTCTATTTCTTCTCTGGTTATTTTTATTATCATTTTTATATTTAATGTCGGGGCATTTATAGCCACTATTCTTTAAATCTTTATAAAAATTACAATGTTTTTAAAATATCTCTTCATTAGCAGAATTTATACTAATTCGTTTCTCTATGGATGAAGTTACGTGTTTTAATAAAACACGCACCTTCACTATAGAATAATATACCCCCCCCCCCAGTAAAATGGAAATTACAAAAAAAACTGAGAATTGTAGGTTTTTAAATGACGTATGTCCTTTGTGCCTACATGAAAAGTTATATATTAAGTTTCTTAAAAATAAAGATTTATTCAATCAACGAAAAGAAATAACTGTCTTTTGTAGGCATTGCATTATGTCCACTTTAAAACGTAATTAATAAGCTTTCATAATTATATATTTATTATTTGATTACAAATAAAAAAATGTGTACTTAATTCCTAAATTTAAATTTTAACAATGCCATATCTAATGTACCATTAAATACAATAAATATAGCATTTTAGATGTTTTTAATTAAAATGTAAATATATAAAATATGATTTAATCATATTGGAAGCTCTTTTAAGACAGCCCCAATATATTTGGAAAAAAAATTAAAAACATAAATAAAAAGCCAAAATTAACCTATTGTTCGATTCATATAACTCCCTGTATTTTAGTGTATCGTATGTAAGTTCCAAAAAATGTAGACGGGATGACATGTCTTATAAACGAAAGTCTGTTTTGGCAAGCAGAAATTACATAATCACACCAAACCATTAACCTACATTTTTCACTTTTTCATCTCAGATTAGACCTGTTCCCTGATTCGTCAAAAAAGACAACACCCACTTAAAATTTTGAAATCTTATTTCCCCTCCAACTTAAACTCTTAAATATAAAACTGCTTTGCTTAAAAAAGTAAATCATTTTTTTCTGAACTTATTTAACATCGCTTGAAAATGGAACAGAAATTTTAATTTTAATTTTTAATTCCGAAAAATTTCTGTGTAGCGATGAAAACATATTTTAAATAACACACACACACACACACACACACACACACACACACACACACACACATATATATATATATATATATATATATATATATATATATATATATATTAAGATATATGTCTTTGCACAGTTTAGACATATTCTATCTACTTATTTTCGATAAGGTCTTTTTATACTAACGGATAAGTTTTTTAGCGTCATTACTGAAAGACGAGAGAAAATCACCGTGTTTATACATATTTTTTTTTTATTATCAAGTACTTTCGACATATCCATGTCATCATCAGGGTATTGTTTATAATAAAATATATATTATATTATCCATTATTGTCAGTGCATGACAGTTAAACAAATAAACAATACCCTGATGATGATATGGATATGTCGAAAGTACTTGGTAATAAAACAAGTATGTATAAACACGGCGATTTTCTCTCGTCTTTCAGTAATGACAGCAAAAAACTTATCCGTGACTATAAAAGAATCTTATCGAAAATAAGTAGACAGAATATGTCTAAACTGTACAACGACACATGTCTAAATGAAAACATACTGCCGACCGAAATATACGCACTTTAAGCAACATGAATATCAGAATATATATATATATATATATATATAGGAGAAAAAAGAGAGAAAGAGAGAGAGATTGAGAGAGAGAGAGAGAGAGAGAGAGAGAGAGTATGAATGGGATTCTGACAAAATTATAGGATAAAAAACAATTAGGAAACAGATCTTAATCTAACATGTTTCACTTTATTAAAGCTTCGACAGAGATCAAGATAGAAATGATAAAATGATTAAAAGCAAAAAGACGCAGACTAACCGAATGTTGTGTTAGGCTATTTTGTATTGGTTAGATACGTATCACGTGTATTGAAGAAACATATAATATTTAAATATGCATGGCAAACATTCTCGACGCTAAAGTGTGTAAAAGTGTGTAAAGTGTGCATCTTACTATTACGCTCATATTTTATCA